GTTTAGGGTTTATGGTGTTTTTTGAAAGCCTAGAGTTGAGACCCTGGATCATCCTGCAGCCCCTCAACCCCTACAGACCCCTAAGCCCCCTAAGCCCCTTAAGCCCCCTAAGCCCCCTAAGCCCCCTAACCCCTAAACCCTAAACCCTGCAGCCCCCAGATCATCTTAAGTCCTCTAAGCCTAAACCCTGAAACCTTCAAGCCCTGCAACCCTCAAAGCCCAGACCCTTACACCCAAAGCCCTAAAACCCCAACCTAAGCAAAAAAACCGAAAACCGGACAGACCCCAAAAATCCCAAAGGCCCTAAAGACCCCACAAACCCCAAAAGCGCCTACGCTAAACCCTAAACCCTGGAAACCCTAAAGACCCCGAAGACCCCCAAGACCCCCCAGAAAGGCCCGTAAATACCCTAAGCCCGAAACCCTGGATCCCAAAAAACCTCCTAAAAATGCTCAAAATGGCCCCTAGATACCCTAAACCCTAAACCCTAAAACCCTAAACCCTAAAACCCTAAAACCCTAAAACCCTAAACCCTAAACCCTAAACCCTAAACCCTAAACCCTAAACCCTAAACCCTAAACCCTAAACCCTAAACCCTAAACCCTAAACCCTAAGCCACCACACAGAACGATGTAGGGTTTCGGGAACGGTTCAGTGAAGAAACGTGTGGCCAAGGCATGAAAGATGGCGTATGCGGTGGCGTTTTGACCAAGCATGTTAGATGAACCTGACTATGAGTTGCTTCTGGGGATGTTAGGGTTTAGGGTTTAGGGTTTAGGCTTTAGGGTTTAGTAATTTAGGGTTTAGGGTTTAGGGTTTAGGGTTTAGGGTTTAGGGTTTAGGGTTTAGGGTTTAGGGCAGGGGCGAGGCATTACCTCACACGCCACCAGAGCGGGTGGAAGAAAACCGGACCCCTGGTATGTCAAAGACGCCATGGAAGCCGGCGACGCTGAGTCCACCCCCGGGGTAAATGCCCTAAATGCCCTAAATACCCGAAACCCTCAACCCTGGAAACCCCTCGAGCCCCATGGAAACCCTTCACCCTAAACCCTAAACCCTAAACCCTAAACCCTAAACCCTAGACCCTAAACCCCTCGTCCTGCGCCAGGCGCTGCGAAGAAGCGCCCGGCGCTCCCCCGACGCGAGGGGGAGCTGCGGCAGCTCGAGAAGGAAGCCAAGGCTTGCTATGAGGATTGGAGGGTTTAGGGCTTAGGGTTTAGGGTTTAGAGTTTAGAGTTTAGGGTTTAGAGGGTTTCGGGGGTTTAAGGGTTGTTGGGTTTTGTTGGGTTTTAGGGCTTAGGTTTGAGGATTTGAGGTTTAGGGTTTGGGGTTTCGGGTTTTGCGATGTGCGAGTTTAGGGTTTAGGGGTTTAGGGTTTTGGGGTTTTAGGGTTTGAGGTTTTAGGGTTTGAGGGTTTTGGGGTTTTAGGGTTTAGGATGTAGGGTTTTGGTTTTTTAGGGTTTTTAGGGTTTAGGCTTTGGGGACTTTTAGGTTTTCAGGGTTTTGGGGCTTAGGGTTTCGGATTCAGGGTTTTGGGTTTGGCGTTTGGGGTTTAGGGTTTAGGGTTTAGGGTTTGGGGTTTAGGGCTTGGGGTTTAGGGTTGTCAGGGCTCAGGGTTGTGAGATGTTAGGGTTTCGGTGGATTATCGAGTCTTGGGTTTAGGGTTTAGGGTTTAGGGTTTAGGGTTTAGGGTTTAGGGTTTAGGGTTTAGGGTTTAGGGTTTAGGGTTTAGGGTTTAGGGTTTAGGGTTTAGGGTTTAGGGTTAGGGTTCTGGGGGTTATCGAGTTCAGGGTTTCGGGAGAAGGCTCCAGACTGTAGGGGATGTAGGCCTTGATGTGTCTTACAGCTTCAGGGGTTCCAGAATGGTGGGTTTAGGGTTTAGGGTTTAGGGTTTAGGGTTCAGGGTTCAGGGTTTAGGGTTTAGGGTTTAGGGTTTAGGGTTTAGGGTTTAGGGCTTCAGGGGCGTTGGGGACTGCAGGGCTGCAGGGGTTGTTTTAGGGTTTTACTCCCCACTACTGCCCAAGACTCCCTAAGCTTCCCTAAGGTTCCCTAGGTACGGTTCAGGGTTTAGGGTTTAGGGTTTAGGGTTTAGGGTTTAGGGTTTAGGGTTTAGGGTTTAGGGTTTAGGGTTTAGGGTTTAGGGTTTAGGGTTTAGGGTTTAGGGTTTAGGGTTTAGGGTTTAGGGTTTAGGGTTTAGGGTACCTACCCCCTTGGAACCCCAGTCCCTTAGGAACCCTGCTAGTTTCGCGTTTGTATGGCTCAGAGGTACATGAGGATTCAGGGATTTAGGGTTTGGGGTTTAGAGTTTAGGGTTTGGGGCTTAGGGTGTCGGCTCCGAGTCTAAAACTTCGGATTTGGGCCGGGCCCAAGCTATGCACCAGGTCCCCAAATATACATACGCCTCCTGGGCGGCTGGACACGAATTCAGTGGGAAAGGTCACCTGAGAGAACATCCCGAAATCTTAAACCCTAAACTGGAGGAAGTCTGCTGAAGGTTCTTGGGGGGTGGGCGTCGCTTTGAAGTTGGGGTACTTAGGCTCAATGCTTTGGGTATCAACGTCTCGTTTTGCAGGTTTTGGGCTTCGGGTTTAGTGTTCTGGACCTTAAACCCGAAAGCCGAAACCCTGAGCCCTATAAACCCTAAAGCCTAAGCCCTAAACCCTAAACCCTAAACCGCAACGCTTAGGGTTTAACGTCGGGGGCTTTAGAGGCTTTCCTTCCCGGTGCCACGGGAGGCTGCAAAGGAGGACGCGCGGGTGACACTGATTTTCGTGGACACAGGCGGGGGTCCGGATGAAGCCCTAGAAGCTTTAGACCGCCCCAAACCCCAAACCCTAAACCCCGAACCCTAAACCCTAAACCCTAAACCCTATACCCAAAACCCTAAACCCTAAACCCTAAACCCTAAACCCCGTAGCCCTTTATTTCCCGGACCACACAAATACCTCGAATCGTTGGTGCCTAAAACTCCTGAAGTTTTTTTTTGGAAGGTCCCCAAGCCATGAACACCGCCCCCGGCCCGACCCTCCACCCAACAAAACTGAACCCTGCCTAAATCCCCCCGGGCCCCTTGCCCTAAACCGCAAATCCCACCCCCAAACAACAGCACAAAGACCCTACAGCAGTACAGCCGAAACCCCAAAGCCCATCCCGAACAAAGACTCAAAAACCCAAAGTCCCCAAAAAAGCGCCTTAAGTAAACAGAGCAACAGCTCAAAGGCCCTAATCCCTAAACCATAAACCCTAAACCCTAAACCCTAAACCCTAAACCCTAAACCCTAACAGAGCCGGGAGCTAGGCGATCGCTACGTGGTGCGGGTGGACCCAGACCTTCCGATCGGACCCGGAGGTGGCAGAAGCCCGGTTTAGGGTTTAGGGTTTAGGGTTTAGGGTTTAGGGTTTAGGGTTTAGGGTTTAGGGTTTAGGGTTTAGGGTTTAGGCTTCAGGCTTCAGGGTTTAGGGTTTAGTTTTTTTTTTTTTTGCGTTTTTTGGGCCGTAGGAGGACCCCTCGACCCTGAACCCTGAACCCTAGTTTAGGGTTTAGGGTTTAGGGTTTAGGGTTTAGGGTTTAGGGTTTAGGGTTGATTGTGTCAGGACGCTGGCAGCGTGCATCGGATGCCTTTGGGGATTGCCTACCTTGAACCCTCAAAGCGCAAGACTGAACCCCCCAAACCTAGACGCTAAATCAACAGCCTGTCAAGCCCTAAATCCTGAAACTCCTCAAGCCCCCTGGGTCCTATGCCCCTAAACCACCTTGACTTCAAGCCTAAACTGTCCAACCCCCCTCCTCAAACCCTAAGCCCTAAGCCCTAAACCCTAGACCCTAAACCCTAAACCCTAAACCCTAAACCCTAAACCCTAAACCCTAAACCCTAAACCCTAAACCCTAAACCCTAAACCCTAGACCCTAAACCCCAGGTTCCTTACTCCGGTGGGCAAGAGCTGACCCATTTCGTTTTTTGTTTTTTTTTTTGGGGGGGGGGAAGCCTCTGCCATCCCAGCTGGCTTCGGCGCCTGTTAGCACCCTAACCCTAAACCCTTTGAATCCAAAAACCCTGTAAAACCCATAAATCCTAAACCTTAAACCTTGCATTCCTAAACCTTAAACCCTCCATCCTAACCCCTAAGCCCTAAAACCCTAAAAACCCTGATGTTGAAATCCTAAACCCTCAACCCTGAACACATCAACCCTACAAGCCTACAGCGCTACAACCCTACAACCCCTGCTGGGCATAGGAGGGCGCAGGAGCGTGTTCGAGTTGCTTGGGGCCTGACTGAGACAGCCAGAACGAAGTGGACCAACAAACAGTAGGGATTTGGGGTTTAGGGTTTAGAGATTAAGTTGTAAGCGTTTCCAGGGATTCTAAGGGTCGGGCCTGCGCGACAGAGCCGGCTGCAGGAAAATGGCATAAGTTCCTTTGGAGCCGGTTGCAAGCAAATCTTGCACCTGACCTGCCAAGCCCAGGATTTAGGGTTTAGGGTTTAGGGTTTAGGGTTTAGGGTTTACGGTTTACGGTTTAGGGTTTAGGGTTTAGGGCTGTTCTAGATTTGGCTGAAGGATCGTGTGGCGTGTAGCTAGGATGGATGAGAAGTGGCTTCGAAGTGGATGCTCAGGGCTATGTTATCGGATTCACGGTCGCTCTGGGTATGCTGGAGTATTGAATTTGTAAGCCGAAGGCCACTACAGCATATTGTAACCCTAAACCCGAAACCCTAAACAATAAATCATGGCATGCTCTACGGTAGAATCGTGTCGTATCACGGAGTCAAGCATTGTACCAGTATCTTAGTATACGATTAGCAATAGTAGTTTGATGGTATTCTGTCATAGTATACTACTTAGAGTTATAGTTGTTTGATAGTTTTCTATCATAGTATAAATAAATAAATATATATATATATATATACAAATGAATAGAAACAAATGAATAAATACATATATATGTATATATATATATATATTACTAGAGTGCGAGTTCGCGCTTTTCCATGGCCAAGCAATGCGCGAGCTCGCCTTGCATGCCCGGCTCCGTGCAGCTGCTGCAGAAGTTGGAAAGGATCGGCTTCGTGTTTGGAGCGCCTGGTTGCTTGGCTGCGACTTTCTGGGGAGGATAGGGTTTAGGGTTTAGGGTTTAGGGTTTAGGGTTTAGGGTTTAGGGTTTAGGGTTTAGGGTTTAGGGTCTGGGGTTTGGGGTTTAGGTTTAGGGTTTTGGGTTTTGGGTTTTGGGTTTTGGGTTTAGGGCTTAGGGTTTAGGGTTTAGGGTCCGACTTTGTGGAATTGCTTTCGTAGAATCCAGTTCATGTGCGCGGCATGACTCTGCTGCTTTGCTGTGTTGAGTGTTGCAAGAATACAGCTTCTACTTTCTGGCGTGAGACAGAAGGGCCTCTCCGTTAGCTAGTGTGTGCTAGATCCTCTAGTAGGCGGGTAGCAAGGTTTGTGGTCGTGGCAGAAGTGTGCTCAACGCTCTGCCTGATTCAGCCGGCCATTCTTACCAATGGGCTGTTCCTGGTGGTCCCTCTTGCATCGACGATTGCCATCGGCATCTTCAGGAACCTCATGCCGTTGAAGGTGATGCTTCAAACACCCATTCAAATCGCTTGGCCGTGTAACTTTTCCAAGTTCGGTATTTCCAGGAAGCAGACGAAAGCAGTGTATTTCTGCCTTTCTACGATCCTGCTGCGGGCCGCATGTTGCTGTGTTTTCTGGTTCTACTACATGCAATGGAGAAATTTGGGCGGGTGCCAGGATCCAACGGCGCAGAGCATGTTGTGCCACCGCTGTAACGTGTCATTCCTGTGGCCGAAGTATTCCGATGGCCTCCTTAGCCTTTCGGAAGAAGCGTGCGAAGAAGCAGAATTGGTCCTGCATTCGGCTAGCCTCAGCAAGACCCGATCTGAGGAGTACACGCAGTATCGTGAATTGAAGAATCTCCGCAATGTCGGCAGATACACAGATTGGGTCAGGCGAGCAGATGCTGCATACAACGTGACTGAGCACAACAACCTGACAGAGTCGCAAGTCAGTCAATTTGAAGGGTTGGTAAACGACATGGGAGTCGAGCTGAAGGAACAGCTTATGGCCGCGATGATGATTTTCCAGCGATGGCACGGCTGCCAAGAACACAGCGGACCAGCGTGCGCGGCACCATGCACAGACTGCTTCAGGAGATGTACTTGCAAGTCGTCTTTGATGTTGCACACCTTGCGGAGGAGCTGCTCGGAAAGTGCTTTTTCGTCCGAAAGATACTACGACATACACCAGAACAGCTGGACTAGCTTTGAGAGCGGCATTGCAGCTGAATTCAGCATGTGCATCTTGCGACAAAGCTATAGCTGGCAGTGGCTGGCGGATGCTTGGAGCGGGGCAGTGTTCTTCCTTTTCCTGGTCCCTCAACTAGGCTTGTGCATCTGGGCTGCGGTGGGCCTGGCAGGTGGGGGTTTACGAAAATAAGAGACACCAAATATAGTCCCCCAAATAGTAGGATCCCTTAAATAGGGAACCCTTATTTCGAAACTATAAGGGACCCCAAATAGTAGGACCCCAAATAGTAGGATCCCTTATAGTGCCCCTATGTTCGGAATATCCCCAGGTCTCTGTGGGCTGCGCCAATTTTTGTGGCTGCTGGGCAGTGCACCAAAGGATGGTGAGGCCGTCGACCGAATCGAGGAGCAGGCTGCCCTTCTTCGGCGAAGGATGGCCAGGGGCGAGGTGGAGCCCCACGACGCCCGCAAGGAGACGTAGCGGAGTCAGCTTACTAATGTATGCATATGTCTATATATATATATATATATATAGACTGTTTTTTCATGTTCTGTAAAGATATTGTATCGGTTGCAAAACTCTGAACAGCAGATTTGTGCAACCCATCCATATACCTCTAGCAGAGTACAACGTTCTAGGGGGAATACGACTGAAGCCCTGAGCCCTACAGAGGTTTCAGGCAGGTGTCTGTGCAGTTCCGTTGGGGTGTGGGACGGGTTAGCGGTTCCGGCCTGAGAAGTGGAGGAGATGTTCATGCTCCACTTTGAGTTCCTAGTGTTCCTCGCGGATTTCCTGTCGGATTGGTACTGCCTGGTGCAGTTCGCTATCGGCCAGCAGTTGGGCCTTGTGCTTGCCCAAGGGATCATCATTCTGGTGCCCATCAGTTTGGATTGCTACCGCGGTAAGATCCAGAATTTTCGGCGGCATTCAAAGGGTCTATCTGGAGAGCAAAGCGCACGATAGGAATCGCCACGTTTCAAGCATCGCAGTAGTGGTGTGTAGTCTATAGTAGCAGTCATGGTATATAGCAGTTTAGGGAGGCACTAAGAACAGCAAGAGTGAGAGTAGCAGTAGTGGCACTCGTGCCACTGGACATCAAGCCAAATCTGAGGATCGTCGAGGTCATCGGAGGCTTCGTGAGGTCCCGCAAGAAAGGCTTCCCCACGAACGGATTTATCCGAGCACTGCGCTCAGAGAAGAGTGTCGAGGCTCCGTTGTCTTTGGGCTTGCAGTACTACACCATCTTGAGACCCACGACGAGCAGCGCATTTTGGGGTATGATGGTCTCTATGCCTTTGAGTATTCTCAGCCTCTCCAAGTTTGTGTATCAGAATTTTGAGCTTGGATTAATGGAGGCACTGATCGAAGCCAGGAACCCCAGCAGCTCTGGGAGTGCCATCGACACACCCGTCGTGCCTGGCAGGACCAGTCCAATTCCCCGCAGCTTACCTCCTTCCGTGAATGAAGTGTATCGCCCTCCCGGTCTCGCACCTTCTTCGAACTCTGCGAAACCCCTGGATCAAGGCGTTCAGTGCATGGAAAGCTTGGAAGCCAGCCAAGCTGCGCTGCGCTGCGATGCGCGCAGCGCCAAGGACGTCGCACCCACACCACCCTCGCCCCAGGCTGTTGGGAAAACCGCAGCAGGCCTACAGAAGAGCCCATCACAAGCCTCCGAGGACTTGGCAAGGCCGCCGGGCATTGCGCAGCCTTCAGGCACGGCGTTGCCTCCACCACCTCCAAGCAAAGTGGCGGCACCGCCCGGTCGTTTCGCCCGGGCTTCTGTGGTTCCACGTCCACAAGCAGGGGCCACAACTACTCCCAGTCCTGGGGGTAGACCTCTGCAGGTTGCCAAGGAACCACAGCTTCCCCCTATCATAGTACAGCATCGAAAAAGTACGTTTAGAGAGTGACAACTGTGATCAAGTGCGCCAATGTTACTTCCAATTAACTTGCTACACAGTTCTTTTCGATCGAGGCAACAGCAAGGTAAGGTGTTGTATCAAAGACGTGATAGCGGCAGGCTGGAACGCTGCCAAAACAAGCTGAAACATATTTATTTGTGCAGCTTCCCGGGAGCACACAGCTAAAGAGACAGTCTTGCTGCCCAATTTTGGTTCAAATTCTGGTATCTTGGCCATCTGACAGGTGGCGTTTTCAAAATTTGCGGCACGTGCACTGTGAGGAATCGCTCACAGTACCACGGCATGCATGCAAGGACATGCAGGCAACGCAAAGTGTTTTGCCATTACTCCTGTCATATGAAAATACGGATCCCCGCAGCTATTCTAGACAGTCTGGGTGTAACATAAACCCATGAACAGCACCATGAAGCACAAGCCTCAATGCCCAAGCATATTAGTGAACAAAAGTGTTTGGTAGATCCTCGCATATAAACATGTTGCCGCATGTTGTGGTATGTGATGGCATATCATGGTCGATTACACTACTTTCTAAACTTAGAGAGTCCGTTAGCATGATTTCCTATGCTACAGTACCTCGCTCTTGTTGAGTGCACCGCAGCATGCTTTATGACCCCAGGTCCAAAAAAACCGGAGACCCAAGTGTTCAAACCATTTTGAGAGTATGCTGGGGCATCCAAGACGCCAACTCACGAGATTCAGTTCGGAAGCGGCTGTCATCTCAAAGAGAGCAGCATCTGAATGGATCACGGAAAGATGCGCGCGATGCTGCCGCGGTTGACCTGCGCCTGTGTCGGAGCGGAGAGTATTCCACTATCCCATGTCATCATGTTTGATTCCGCATAGCGCAGTAGAGTATGCATTGAGATACCTTCCTATACATTCAAGTAAAGGCATCTTCTAGTATGCAGTACAGCATATTCTCGTACACCATCCTAAAACTCTCAGTCCTCGCAAGGTGGTTCCGGAGGTGGCAAGCCACAATCCCTTAAGGGGATCATTGAGGAGAACCTCCGGAGACTGTGTGTTCACAGGGTTTCGGGGATGGGGGGCCTTAGGGTTTGGGGGTTTGGAGTTTGGGGTTTTGTTGGCTGGTGTACGGGCAAAGTGTTTGTTTAAGCAAGGGTTCGAGATGGTTGAGTGTTTGCAGGGCTAAGGGACATTTTGGCGTTTAGGGTTTAGGGTTTAGGGTCAGGGTTTCGGATTTGGGGTGGTGGCCCTGGGCTGTACTTGCTTGGCTTGAGGCTTTAAACCCTAAACCCTAAAAGCCCGATGAACCCCATAAACCCTATAAACCCTATAAACCCTGTAACCCCGATAAACCCTGTAAACCCTGTAAACCGTAAACCCGGGCGTTTCAACAAAGCTCGTGAGGGTCTAGGGGCTTCGGCGGCTTAGGGTTGTCTGGGACTGCACTTCTTCGATCCCCTAAACCCTAAACCCTAAACCCTAAACCCTAAACCCTAAACCCTTAGAGACCCCCGAGGTGATGTAGACCTAGAGCTTATAGGGGGTTTACAGGGGTTTGTAGGGGTCTATGGGGGGTTTTTAGCGGTTTGTAGGGGGGGGTTTATGGGAGTGTATTCCGGGGCTTATTGGGGAGGTTATACGGAAGTTTATAGGGAGTCATAGGGGCTTATGGGTTTAGGGCTTATGGGGTTTGCAGGGGTCGGTAGGGGTAAACCCTAAACCCTAAACCCTAAACCCTAAACCCTAAACCCTAAACCCTAAACCCTAAACCCTAAACCCTAAACCCTAAATGTTGGTTTCGGGCCGGCGTAGGACATCTCCGGCGTGGCGCCGTCCCAGCAAATCTTGTTTTGCCACCGGTCGAAGATGGGCCAAGACAAGTGGGGGCCTTGACATGCCCGTTTATGGTTTAGGGTTTAGGGTTTAGGGTTTAGGGTTTAGGGTTTAGGGTTTAGGGTTTAGGGCGTTTTTGCGAAGCGCCAGCAGGTCCGGGGTTTCGGGTTTCGGGTTTCAGGGAATGTGTGATTTTTTGGGTTTAGGGTTTAGGGTTTCGGGTTTAGGGCTTGACAATCACCTCAGTCATTATTCGGAGCCACATCTACACCCACCAAGAACACAAAATATTCCCCCACTTTCGAGCGGGTGTTGCTCTCTGAGGGTCGCCTGCTAGAGGCCGTTGAAAGGGAAACCCCAATGATGAATTGTACCTAAACGAGGCTCCCTCTTGTGAATTTCAGGGGCGTTCTCTACTCAACCAACTCTCCTCTCCTCTTACGCGTGCTGCCGAAGTTATCATGTTTTGCGTTGCGTAATGAATGTGTGATCTCCTGTTCTACGGAAGGAGAGAGGACCCTAAACCCCAGACCCTGAGGTTCATAAGGAAGTTGTCCTCAGGCGCAACCCAAACCATGAGCCCAGCGAGCTTCAATTCATCCACCCGTACATCCTGCCGAGAATTCCGGAAGGGTTTAGGGGTTAGGGCTTAGGGCCTTTAGGGTACGGGAGTTTCCCCCCGAAAAAATTTTGAATCCTTGTATCTAAGGGTAGTTGCATGGCCCCTTCATAGGGCCCCCTATCATACCTTCTTTTGCGTAAGTCATTGGGTGTTACAGCGTATATAAGGGGTATGTAAGGGGTCCACCATGCAGCATACCAAGAGCCCATGAAACTACCCTAAGATTGCAGGACCCCCCCCTGTCCCCCGCCCCCACCCCAAACAAAAAAGCTTCTGATGACAACCCCTAAACCCCTAAACCCCAAACCCTAATCCCTAAACTTGCCCCAAACCCTAAGCCCTAAACCCTAAAGCCTCAACTCTAAAGGTACACCTTGCGCTCCTACCATGCGCACCAGCACGCGCAGGCGAGGGTGAGTTGTTCGTCTCATCAGCCCCCGACCGCAGCAGCCCAGAAGCCTAAGAGCCCGAAATTTCCTTCAAAGGCTGGAGCCCAAAGGCTGGTTTAGAGTGTAGGGTTTAGGGTTTAGGGTTTAGGGTTTAGGGTTTAGGGTTTAGGGTTTAGGGTTTAGGGTTCAGGGCTTAGGGTTTAGGGTAACCTCAAAGACCGGACTCGCATTCAAAGGCCCCAAAGCCCTCGAGTCTGCGCCTCTTCCGTTCCTCAACCTGTCCTCCCCCCAGCAGACGCCTGAGCCCAGCTCCCCCACATGTTGGCCCCAAAGCCTTGAACCCCTTAAGACCCTAAACAGCAATGGGTTTGGGGTTTAACCTACAGTGCTGCCTTTTAGGAGATCTTCTGAGCCAGATGTAACCAACCCTAAGCCCCAAACCCTAAACCTCTCTATTCCTGTGCTTCATCGGGATCCTTCTGGGGTTCATTTGGAATATGTTTGAAAGATGAAGATTCCATGATTCCATGTCACTGTGCCCCAAAACCACCCTATGTAGCCCTGTTAGCCCGTAGACATGATTTTATCGTGACCCCAAAGCCACCTCAAGCTGTAGGGTCAAGGGAGCCCTAAACCCTACATCGTAAACCCTACATACACCCTAACCCTTTATGAACCCTACACCCTAACCCCTAAACCTTACACGCGATGAACCCTAAACTGGAGTCAGATGATGTGGGCGTGCCGACGCTTGGGGGTTCGGAGGAGAGTGTGCAGTACGTGGGCTTCCGAGGTTTAGTTTAGGGTTCAGGTTCAGGGTGGGTTGTTTACCAAAATAAGAAGAGTCTCCCAAAGAGTAGGACCCCTTATAATAAGGTACCCTAATTTCGGAAGCTCCTTGTCGGTTTTGGGACATATGGGTTTTTGACGATTTCGGGATGCTTCAGGGTGAAAGGGGTGCATAGGGTTTAGGGTTTGGGGTTTAGGGTTTAGGGTTTAGGGCTGTATAGGGTTCATGGTGAGTGACTTGGGGTGTACAACCCTAAAACCCTACATCTGGCGGGAGCCAACTATAAACTTGAGCCTTCAGCGTCTCAATACACCCATCCCCCCTGGACGGCATTTGCATGTTCCCTAACCCTAAACCCTAAACCCTAAACCCTAAAGCCCTACACACTGTGGAGCGGTCCGCGCAGCCTTTCTTGGCCTTTTGCTATGCTTGCTGGCCAGGCTTTTGCTTGGTATCCCAGTGGTACACTTTTTTTGCCCAAACCCTAAACCCTAAACCCTAAACGGTTCCCTTATAAAGTGTCCAACCCAAATTGCAAAGGGCCCCCTTAGAATGATGTGTGTACTGGGCAACCTAGTCTGTAACACTTTGCCTCCTACCAAGACCCACGGACCCTCAAGCCCGAAGCCCTAAACCCCAAACACCCGCATCTTTCCCGGCGACTGCTTGCCCACACTCAACCCTCCTGAAGCCTTGAACTGGTACCAGGGGTCTAGGGCAGGGTTTGCAGGGTTTACCCTAAACCCTAAACCCTAAACCCTAAACCCTAAACCCTAAACCCTAAACCCTAAACCCTAAACCCTAAACAGGGTTTCGAAGGATCGGCCCGCCCAGTTTGGGGCACTTCGGCCTAGCCATGTGGACTAGCATCACCTCACTGCTCGAACGGCTGGGCTGCGCCAAGCGCGACTTCGTCTCAAGTGTCGCCAAAGTCTCCACGAAACCTTAGATCCAAGCGCTACTGCGTTCCTAAACGCAACAGCCAACCCCCGGAAACCCTAGGCCCCCTAGCCTTGGGCTCAAGATGGCCCAAACAGCATTGCGTGTAGGCCTTTGGGTCTACAAGCAAGCCCTAACCCCATCTTGACCCCTGGAGGATTCGGGCCCACATGGTGTTTGTTTGGGGTTTAGGGCATGGAGGCGTTAGGGTCCCGCTTAAGTTCAGGGTTGAAGGTTGCGGGCTTAGATGTTTGGGGTCTTGAAACTCGCATATCATCCCCCACAGTTGTCGGGTTACAGTCGGTTAAGAGCCTGGCACTCTCGAAACCTCGACCTGCAACCTGCGGGGGTTTCCAAAATTAGGGGGTACCTTATTGGGGGTCCCGTTGTATCGGGGATCCTGCTTTTCGGGAGTCTATATTGGGGGTCCCTGAACCCTAAATCCCTA